ATTCATTTTGCGCCTATGCTCGATTTCTTCCTAGGTTTTGTGTGTTCATTTTATAGGTCATACATCAGCATAACCAAGAACCACGTGGCTTACAGAATGACCAAATATTCTTTAGTTTGGCAGAGGTTTTCCAGACCTTACGAAAATATCCGTTCAATTCATTCCTCATTTTCTTTTCATTAACGCGAACATGTAATAAAAAAGAATAACAGAAGTGAATACAAACCTATTCGTATGGCAAGATATGTGTGTTTTTACTGAAACAACCACGTCCAAATTAATTTTGGAACCACTAAAGGGAAAAGTAAGTAAAATTTGCCTTTTCATGGCCTTAACACGTCATTTCGGTCGAACTTCCATTACTGTAACTCCCGATAAGTTAGACAGATCGAACATTATTGAAAACATTCATCGCATCTAAGTATTGCGTATTTACAGCTCAAAATCCATGGATTTGGTGTGCGGCGGCGCGCTCGCAAAATCGCTCTGGTCCCACGCGGTGCAAAAACCCAAAACGCGCGATGTCGTCAACGTGTTAATTAATCCAGATTGAACTCTGATATATATGGCTTATCCACTGCGCAACACTATTCATTTTCATATCCAAGTATTACAGGGAACTCGAAATACTGGTACTTCTTTAGGCTGGAAAAGACGCTGCTAATCCAACTGCTTTTATTAGAGCGTCTGCTGACATGCTCCGGTGAGTTTTGAGCTTCCCATATATCGAAACAAAGTCGGGACATGGTGTACAATATTATATGCAAAACTTCTCGAATAACCAACAGTGACTTTCTGTTTCGTTTTTGTCATCCGCAGATCAAATGTAAAAGTAGCTGCTTTAATGCGCATGCTGTCTATGATTAAAGCAGAAAATTAATGTTTTTCCTATTTCACCTCCTTCCAAGGTATCCTCTCACAAATGAAACTGTTTCCAGATATCTTGGACTGAACCACCATGCCAACATGATTTCTGATTCGTTGTACCGCACCTTGGTGGAGAAACGGCTTCACACCCCTGATATTGGTGGAACGGCTAAGGTATAAATACGGAAAATGATTTATTTATTGTGTTCATCCCAACTTTTATTTCAAGACAAGTGACGTCGTGAAGTCTGTATTGGAATTCATCGCAGAGGAAATGGAAGAGCACAAATGGCGAGCCAGATAAACTTCGTCTTTATCATTTTTGTAGGTTTTGATAGTCACTGTATGTTCTCTTTCAGGCCGATAGTAGCTTCTAGCTCATCAAATGATAGGAAATCACTTTAGTTTGCATAATAATACTAATACCAAGATAATCATTCAACTTTTCACTTCCGTAACATTGATCTTTATAATGTGGCTGGGATCGTAATAACAAGAAGTAATTCTCATTTTTCTTCATCTCATCGCTTAGCATAATCCCGTGATGTGAATAATATGAGTCAAAAAATTATTTTTTGAACTAGTCATATAAAACATGATTTTCTTGTTATTTTGTAGAAATGAAAGCTGTATTTTGTATGAGATTCGGATTTCTCCCTCTTCGTTTCTAATGCCCTACTTATCGTTAGTTTGCTGCAGTTCCAGTTCCATAAATCCACATATACACTGCGTTTCATAATTATAGGTCCACCCTAAATTTTTGCTATTCCAAAGTTGCTGTGCATTTTTGGAAAATGCCGCTATTACCAATAGTTTCCCCATAACGAAAAACCTTGATACTTGATTTCTGGAGAAATCTCGATTCAGAATTATTAAAATATCTTCCTTAGAACGTATTTTCACCGTTTCGCAAATATGACTACACATCACTTGTCGAGAGATTTTATTATAAGGAAAAAACGTCACGAATTCAATAATGGCATGGT